TGCTACTTTAGATTAGGCATTTCATTGTCTACATCCTTAACGCTGCTGTATGGAGAAGGAAGCAGGGATGAACATGCGTGCTCCACCCCCCCCATGCATTTTAGAAACCTAATTTTCCAGAATTATGAAATGATAATAAGAAGAATAATAATCATTTATTTATACCCCACCCATCTGTCTGGGTTTCCCCAGCCACTCTGGGCAGCTTCCAACAAAATATTAAAATACAATAGTCCAGCAAACATTAAAAACTTCCCTAAACAGGGCTGCCTTCATATGTCTTCTAAAAGTCTGGTAGTTGTTTTTCTCTTTGACATCTGGTGAGAAGGCGTTCCACATGGCGGGTTCCACTACCGAGAAGGCCCTCTGCCTGGTTCCCTGTAACTTGGCTTCTCACAGCGAGGGAACCGCCAGAAGGCCCTCGGCACTGGACCTCAGTGTCTGGGCAGAATGATGGGGGTGGAGACGTTCCTTCAGGTATACTGGGCCGAGGCTGTTTAGGGCTTTAAAGGTCAGCACCAACACTTTGAATTGTGCTTGGAAACATACTGGGAGCCAATGTAGGTCTTTCAAGACCGGTGTTATGTGGTCTCGGCAGCCGCTCCCAGTCACCAGTCTACCTGCCACGTTCTGGATTAGTTGTAGTTTCCGGGTCACCTTCAAAGGTGCATTGCAGTAGTCCAAGCGAGAGATAACTAGAGCATGCACCATTCTGGAGAGACAGTCCGCAGGCAGGTAAGGTCTCAACCTGTGTATCAGATGGAGCTGATAAACAGCTGCCCCGGACACAGAATTGACCTGCACCTCCATGTACAGCTGTGAGCACACCTGGTCTTTCAGGGGCACAGTCACCCCATTCAGGACCAGGAAGTCCTCCACACCTGCCCACCTCCTGACCCCAAAAACTATGAAATGCATGGGGAGCCTATGATGGGGACCCATAGAGACTCATGAGAGAAAAGCCTGCACCCTACCACAGATAATTTTGAGCCATGGAGAGGTAAGCATGGGGAGAAATTTCCCATCTCTACTTCCCCTCGAATCATGTGAATCATGTAGATAAAGGAACGCTTTAAGAAGGCTTTGATCTTGAGTTCATTTGCTCTGAAGAATTCTCCTCAGTATAGTGGCCTGGGAATTCCTGTGTCAAATATCCCCCAGGTATTCTCAGAGTATTGAACATTTGCTGGATATCCAATATTTATATATATGGCATCCAATGAAGTCAATGTTTGATACTGGGCAGATGATATTTGATGGTGTTTAAAAAAATAGAAGGGGAAGAAATGGAGGCAGTGAGAGATTTTACTTTCTTGGGCTCCATGATCACTGCAGATGGTGACAGCAGCCACAAAATTAAAAGATGCCAGCTTCTTGGGAGAAAAGCAATGACAAACCTAGACAGCATCTTAAAAAGTAGAGACATCACATTGCCAACAAAGGTCCATATAGTAAAAGCTATGGTTTTCCCAGCAGTGATGTATGGAAGTGAGAGCTGGACCGTAAAGAAGGCTGATGGCCGAAGAATTGATGCTTTTGAATTATGGTGCTGGAGGAGACTCTTGAGAGTCCCATGGACTGCAAGAAGATCAAACCTATCCATTCTGAAGGAAATCAGCCCTGAGTTCTCACTGGAAGGACAGATTGTGAAGCTGAGGCTCCAATACTTTGGCCACCTCATGAGAAGAGAAGACTCCCTGGAAAAGACCCTGATGTTGGGAAAGATGGAGGGCACAAGGAGAAGGGGACGACAGAGGACGAGATGGTTGGACAGTGTTCTCAAAGCTACCAGCATGAGTTTGACCAAACTGCGGGAGGCAGTGGAAGACAGGAGTGCCTGGCGTGCTCTGGTCCATGGGGTCACGAAGAGTCGGACACGACTAAACAACAACAAAAAGTTAGCATGCAGTATTTGGCCATTTTGATGGCTGTGATAACAAACAGTTCTCTGGCTTTCTAATTTCAGGAACACTTTCCACACCCGCTGGTCTTCCACAGAATCTCTGCCCTTTGTGGAGGTTCCTGGAGAATTTTATGGGATGCACCATCGGTCCATGAAGGGCACTGCTTTGCCTAAACAGCACCCATTGTGGATTGAGAGTGTGCCCTCAGACATAATCATTATTGTTGTTCTCATTTAATGGCTGTGAAATGCAAAGGGATATCATTGGTGGTGGGCAACCAGCATTTTGAGAAAGCTTGTCTGCCATTACTGACCTTATTGACAATCACTTGACAGGGTTTGATCTACTGCAGTCGAGTCTGACAATATTTCACAATTGACACATAATAGTACTTTTTTTATCATCTGACAGCATTTGATGAATAACATGCAACGATAAGTAGTATTTGACAGTTGACAGCTCACAATATTTTGTATATTTATAAAATCTATCAAAATCAAACATAAACCATGCAAATTCAAATGGTGAGGTGAGACAAACAGCTTAGCATTTTTTTCCTAATTCAAGGCAACAAATAGTAATACAAAAAAATCTTAAAACATCAGCAATATATTAAAATTAATGAAAAAATCAGCAATCAATACAGAGGACAACAACAGACAAAAACCAAATTGAAAAAAACTTATCTGAAAAGCTTGTCAAAAAAGATGCAGACAGTATCATTAAGGCTGGTGTGATTATGCAGAATATAGGTTTTAGAATATCAATAATTTCAGTAGCACATGAAGTTTTTAATATTAGTTTAGAAATGTGCCAAACTTTACTATAAACTGCCTTTATTTAATATATTTTCCCTCTTCTCCTGTCAAGCACGGGAAACTTTTTAAAACAGAGCACGAACTTTTTATCAAATGACATTTTAATAATTCAAAAACTTCTTGCAACGAACATTTTACTTTTTTTACATATGCATGCTTATATTATGAATCTGAATATCTGTATCCCACTTCTGTAAGCATCTGCATTTCTCTCAAATGTTCGTGGAAACCTAAACAGATTGGGAATATGACAGGAAAACCAGTATCTTTATTAGGACAAACAAACTTCCACAAAACATTGTGTGAGGTCTCACACTATGTAGAGAAAAATAAATAAAAGGGAGCCGGGAGGAACGATGCTTTTGTGAAAGGATGTAAGGCTGGTGGAAGGTATCAGCATTCACCATCTCTTTCACATGGGATGCAAAGCTCAGACCCTCCAAGTCTCGATGTTATGTACTGAAGTTCTCACCCTGGGCCAGCAAGGGGGATACTGTAGATAGTTTTCACTCAGGTCCGCATATGCAAATAAGGAATTGAAAGTGACGTTCAGTGATTGGATAGTTACAGAAAGTTGTTACTGTTGCTTTGTAGTTGAGCTCTATATAAGCAGGTTGGCTGAACCCTTCAGTTCAGTTCTGTTCTGGCCTGTGAATAAACAAGAGCTGTCTGAAGAATCGCTGTGTTGTCTGATATGTTCACCCACAACTTAACAGTCCCTATTTTCCAGGGACAGTCCCAGTTTCTGATTTGATCCCAGAATGTCCCAATTTTCCTTAGGACGTCCCTATTTTCATCGGAGAAATGTTGGAGGGTATGAGATTGTGTCCTGGATTTTTGTTGTCTAGGCATTGGAGGGTATAGAGTAGGGAGTTGCCCAACTCAGTTATTATTACAAAGTTGAATCTGCAGGTCTCTTCAAAGGCCCAGATTGGAAGTGAAGGAAAATGTGGCAAGGCTAGAGCTCAGCCATAAGGAAGGCACGGATGCATAGAAGCGTCTGTGGAGCAGCCGGTGGGCAAGAGTTGCTTGTATATTTTGGGGGCTACCGTGGAGGGAAAATATGCTGCGTTTCATGGTACATACAGAGAGCCACCTAGCCTTAGACAGATACAGTGAACTCTTATGGTTGCACACAGCATTTGCATAGTATTGTTTGAAAGTGTTTGCTCTCTTTTTGTTGTAAATTCTATTCCGAGGTGGTGAACTTTATGGATTTGAATGGATTATTATTGCCTGCATTTTGTTTTTATTTTGTTTTGTTTATCCTCTCAAGAATAATGTGAGACTTTGCATTTGTGTTTTGTTCTTGATGGATCATCCTTCTTTTCTTTTTCTTTTACTCCATTACATTATTATCTCTCTCTCTCTCTCTCTCTCTCTCTCTCTCTCTCTCTCTCTCTCAGCGCTAAAAACATTTCCAGTAAAAATCCTGTTTAGGAACCCACATGAAACTGCCATCAAGCATATGCATTTCTAGATTTATTTATCTTATTGCAATGTGAACCTCTATTACCATGTGTACCCTTTTAAAAGCTTCTGGAATATAAAAGCTTTTACCATTTTGGTGGTTAGCTATTTTATGCCCCTGCTTTATGGAATCATATCATACTTTGTCAAATTCCCTCTTATAATTATTATTAGCGAATCTGAAATGACAAGAGTTCATTTCTTGACACCTTGTATGACAGCAAACAATATAGGTATTTCTTTTCTCTCCACGTGAATTGCTTGCAGTATAGACTAATTGGCATACTAATTGACTTCTACAATAATTTAGCTTTATGGTTTATTGTTTTTAAGGTTGTTAGGTAGCACGCATTTATCTACTAGCAGGCAGCAGGTATTACATATTTGCAAAAGACTGAAACTGCTTTAATTGTATTATGGGAGTAATATGCAGGGGATATCGTTTATGTTTTCAATATGAACAGGGAGGCAATGTGATTTCAGGGTGTAAGGGAGGGGGAATTCAAAGGAAGTGGAACTTAAGAACATTTCTCATGCTTGGGTTCTTTCTTCTATATACCTCACTAGTGAAACTTACGATGTCTGTGTGTGGAAGAAGAGCCTGAAAATGTAGGGACCTGTGGAGGCAAATGGGGCCCATATCCAAAAGATATACCATATTTTTCACTCCATAAGATGCACCTGACCATAAGGCGCACCTAGTTTTTAGAGGGGGGAATGCAAGAAAAAAATATTCTTTAAAGGGAGCGCAGAGCAGAGCCAGTATGCATCCCAGGCTCTGCTCAGCACTCCCTTTCACGAGAGCATGTGTGCGGCTCTTGCAGGCTTTTCTCCAAGGAGGGAGAAGGGACTGACAGGCCGTGACAGTCCCTTCTCCCTTCTCGGGGAAAAGCCCGCAAGAGCCGCGCTCCCTTTAAAGAGCGTGTGGAGCGTGTGTGCGGCGCTTGCAGGCTTTTCCCCGAGGAGGGAGAAGCCCCCAAGAGCCCCACACACGCCCTGTGCGGCGCTTTAAAGGGAGCACGGCTCTTGGGGGCTTTACCGGGAGGTGGGGGAAGGGACTGAGGGGCTGCGGAAAAGCCCGCAAGAGCCGTGCTCCCTTTAAAGAGCCGTGTGGAGCGTGTGTGGGGCTCTTGGGGGCTTTTCCCCAGGAGGGAAAAGGGACACACATTTCAGGCGGCTCTTTAAAGAGAGCTCTGAGCAGAGCCTCCCGCCTGCATTCGCTCCATAAGACACTCCTTACTTTTTAGGAGGGGAAAAGTGCCTCTTATGGAGCGAAAAATACGGTACTTAAAGTACATTTATCGCACGTGGTAATTTGACCAGCTTTGAGTATCATGCAAAACGTGTCGTCGTTACAGCAAACTTTTAAGGTAGGGGTTATTGTTTCCACATGACGCTTGGGAAGGTGATGTAGAGATAGAATGGCTTGCCCAGGGAGTTTGTGAGTAAGACGAAATTTGAAGTGGGCACTTTAAAGCTCATGGTTTATGCTCTTATGCTTCGCCAGCTCTCACCCATAAGTACAGAACAAGAAGCAGGACTTCCCCATGGGTGTTTATTGTGGGGTGGGTGCTCCTTGTGCACCCAGATTTTTGGAAGCACCCACACTGTGGTCATTGGCATCAAAATGCCAGCCCATATTTTCACCCCATTTAATTCAGATTTATGGGACGCGGGTGGCACTGTGGGTTAAATCACAGAGCCTAGGACTTGCCGATCAGAAGGTCGGTGGTTTGAATCCCCATAATGGGGTGAGCTCCCGTTGCTCGGCCCCTGTTCCTGCCAACCTAGCAGTTTGAAAGCACGTCAAAGTGCAAGTAGATAAATAGGTACCGCTCCAGCGGGAAGGTAAACGTCGTTTCCGTGTGCTGCTCTGGTTCGCCAGAAGCGGCTTAGTCATGCTGGCCACATGACCCGGAAGCTGTCTGTGGACAAATGCCGGCTCCCTCGGCCTATAGAGCAAGATGAGCGCCGCAACCCCAGAGTCGGTCACGACTGGACCTAATGGTCAGGGGTCCCTTTACCTTTACTAATTAAGATTTATCCTTTCAGGGAGAAATCTGGTGACTAAAAAACAACACCCCCCCACACACATTTGCAGTATTAAAAACCAATCTGGAATTATTCTAAAGACAAAGATGTCCCTAATCTAGAGAGCCTTCATTTAAGACTTAACAGGGGTCAGCAAACTTTTTCACCAGGGGGCCGGTCCACAGTCCCTCAGACCTTGTGGGGGGCTGGACTATATTTTTTGGGGGGAAATGAACGAATTCCTATGCCCCACAAATAACCCAGAGATGCATTTTAAATAAAAGCACACATTCTACTCATGTAAAAACACCAGGCAGGCCCCACAAATAACCCACAAATACATTTTAAATAAAAAGACACATTCTACTCATGTAAAAACATGCTGATTCCTGGACTGTCTGCGGGCCGGATTGAGAAGGCAATTGGGCCAGATCCGGCCCCCGGGCCTTAGTTTGCCTACCCTTGACTTAAAACATGAGCATGATGCTGCTCTCCAGTCTCCTCTCCTTATTGACATCATGCATCATGATATCACTTAAATCATGATTTTTTCTGTATGAACAGCAGTGTTAGGTTTTTTGTTATTATTATTTTAAAAAAAACTTATGTGGATCTTTAGACCCAGAGTGAACCCTTCCACAAAAAGAGCCAGTGCAGCCAAATTCCTATTTAATGTATATATTTTACACTCAAAAGTTCAGGCTAATGTTGAGCTCATTACTCAAGTGCCAGTAGTCAGAACCTTTCGCTTCCATTCACCTCAAGCCAACCAATTACATAGTCCTATAAGCTTTATTGACTTTCAGATCTGACTCATCCGGCTGCTTAAATCCATGAGGTTCCAGAAGTGATGCTTAAATAACATTGAGGCTGTGCCACATACTGATAAAAGACAGGAAGTTCCAAATTATCACCGGTATTGTCCTTTCCACCCATGCTTGAGGAAAAAGAACAAAAAGATGCCATCGTCTGAATTAGTAATGCCATCTCAGCTTTAATTCGACTTTTTGAGAGCTTTTGGGGATACTGGCTGAATTCGTCTTAATGGAGACCATTACAAAAATTGCCTACTGCATTTTATTAGCCAATCTCTATCTTTCCTAAACAGATAGTGTATTCAAAATGTGTGATTCAGATTTTGGAGTTATTTTTTGTTTATTTTTCTGTTTGGGTAATTGTTCACTTTTAAATGCAGTAGACCAGGAGTCAGCAAACCTTTTCAGCAGGGGGCTGGTCCACTGGCCCTCAGACCTTATTTTGAAGAAGAAAAATGAACTAATTCCTATACCCCACAAATAACCCAGAGATGCATTTTAAATAAAAGGACACATTCTACTCATGTAAAAACACCAGGCAGGCCCCACAAATACCCCAGAGATACATTTTAAATAAAAGGACACATTCTGCTCATGTAAAAACATGCTGATTCCCAGACTGTCCATGGGCCAGATTTAGAAGGCGATTGGACCGGATCCAGCCCTCAGGCCTTAGTTTGCCTACCCATGCAGTAGATGGTCTCTTTGGTACTTTAGGTGAAGACAAAGACCGTTACTGCCAGTGCCCCAAGACTCTGGAAGAATAAAAATGAAGCTTAGAGAAAATTTACTAATACACATCTTTTTTTTCCTGTTTCCTCTGGCACAGGAGCAAAAGAAGCATAGTTGCCATCTATTGGACGAGGAGCCACGTGCTGAAAGTCCTGCACTGCAGGGTGTTAGACTAGATGATCCTTGGGTCCCTCTCAAGTCTACAATCCTATGATCTATTCATTTTACAAAATAGCAGCCCTTGGGACAAGAGAAAGCACAAAACTGTGGCACATTGCTGTGGGGAATGAATGGAAACCTGGCAGCCAGGAGCTGAAACCTAGCCAGGTGAGGAGGGATTATCGCTCCTCAGAAAGGTCCCATGCTAAACACTTGGCATGTCCCATTAAAAGGATCAGGTGGCAAGTAATGTGAAGACCAATTGCCTGAAACCCTGGAGAGATGCTGTCACTCAAATTAAGGCAATGTTAAGTATAATGGTTTAATTCACACAGAAATGAAAAATGTATATACAGTGGTACCTCGGGTTAAGGACTTAATTCGTTCTGGAGGTCCGTTCTTAACCTAAAACTGTTCTTAACCTGAGGTACCACTTTAGCTAATAGGGCCTCCCGCTGCAGCCGCGCATTTCTGTTCTCATCCTGAAGCAAAATTCTTAACCCGAGGTATTATTTCTGGGTTAGCGGAGTCTGTAACCTGAAGCATCTGGTACCTCGGGTTATATACGCTTCAGGTTACAGATGCTTCAGGTTACTGACTCCGCTAACCCAGAAATAGTACCTCGGGTTAAGAACTTTGCTTCAGGATGAGAACAGAAATTGCGCAGCAGCAGGGGGAGGTGGTTTTTTTAATAATAATTTTTATTGGTTTTTACAAATATTTCCATGCATATCATCATAGTATACAGAAGTAAATAAAACATTTGGCTCCATAAGCCTGTGACTTCCCCACTCCCTGACTGATGGCTTTCAAACCTATTCTCTAGATACTGCATTTTCCTATATTTCTTATTACTATTAAATCATGACCTTATGTAAATACTAAAATAACTATAATAAGTAATAAATAATAGTTTTAACATTACAAAACTTCTTGTAACCCTACTAGCAATGTTAATTGTTTACAATTGTCTTTCAAGTACAGTGGTACCTCGGGTTACATACGCTTCAGGTGACAGACTCCGCTAACCCAGAAATAGTACCTCGGGTTAAGAACTTTGCTTCAGGATGAGAACAGAAATCGTGCTCCGGCAGCGCAGCGGCAGCAGCGGGAGGCCCCATTAGCTAAAGTTGTGCTTCAGGTTAAGAACAGTTTCAGGTTAAGAACGGACCTCCAGAACGAATTAAGTTCTTAACCCGAGGTACCGCTGTATTATAACATAAATTTGTTCCAGTCTTTCAGAAAAGTCTGATCCTGCCGGTCCCGAATTTTTCCCGTCAGTTTTGCCAATTCGGCGTAGTCCAATAGTTTCATCTGCCACTCTTCTTTCGTTGGTAAATCTTCTTGTTTCCATCTTTGAGCTAGTAACATTCTGCACAGCCTCAAGTGTTTTATGACCAGTCCATAGAGCTGACATAAGTTTAATTATAATTTCAGTATAAATTCATTAGGAAAACACTGTGATCCCTGTATTCACCAGTACCATGCAGGCTGGCTAGTCAACTTCCCATTTATTTACCAAACTTGGTTTTATGCTGTTCACATACTGTATTTAGATTTGGATCCTTCCTTCATAGCACTCGAAACCAAAACACGGTAAGCAAAAAATAAAATAAGGGATGTCTTATCTCCCATCCTAGTGCTAAACACCACAGCACTAAGATTAAAGATAAGCTTATATCTGATCATAGTGCAGTAGTGCTCAGCACTAACACCAGAGATAAGCCTTTTTCTATCAAATAGCAAGAAGAAGCTTGTCTCCAATCTTAGCACTGCCTCTGGGACTATGGTGCTAAGATCAGAGATAAGCCTTAGCTTGCTCCTTGGCACTAAAAGGCAGAAGTTTATCTCAAATCCCCTCCTCCTCACAGCTTCCATTTCTCTTAAAGGTGCTATTTAACACACTTCCAAAAATAAGTGGTTAATGTAACATGTAGTTTTCCACTTGGTCATCTGAACATATGATGCAAACTAGAAATAGATGCAATATAATACTCAGACCAAGCTATGAAAGTTCTTAGCTTCATAGCTGTCAACTTACAAATTTGAAAATAAGGGACCAGCAGCCAAAATAAGGGACCTGCAGCCTCACCTGTTCCAAGCACTCCAGTCTTCCTGTCCTTCTGCAGTCTGGTCAAACTCATGCTGGTAGCTTCGAGAACACTGTCCAAC